TAGTGGTAAAATTGGACTGTATGACAGAGCGCATTCAATTCGTTGAGACACGAGACCATGAGCCCATTATCGATGACCCCCATCATACACCTGGTACCTGGACCTGTAAGTCGATGCAAATGGGCGAGCTTGATGACGAGGAGGATGTGATCCCACATGTCAAGAGTGATACAACGTGGAGGATATTCTTGAGCCCAATCGAGAAGACCTTGAGTTTACATATTCTCAAGTTTCTCTTTCCATCACGGAGATTGAGCGTCCACCTTCCGAGCTATTACCCTGTGCTACTAAGTGGGTCGAATTTAGCTCGACTTGCTCCCAGAATTTCCTTTCAATAGTGAATTAAAGTTGATGTGATGTGTGAGAAAGATTGGTTGATATTATTTACTTATATTGACAATATTAAAAATTGTGGGGATAAAATTGAATAAAATTTGAGTCTTGATCGATTTTTGTACTGTAGAAACTATATTCAATCGCTTCTTAAAAGTCTAAAAATGTTAATGGAAAATTTTGCCCCTGCCCACGGTGGGCAGTGCCCACCACTTTGTTTTATATGAAAAACGTATTCTGAGAATACGTTTTTCAATTAAATTAATTGAAAATCGTATTCTCAGAATACGTTTTTCATGTAAAATAAAGTGGTGGGCAGTGTCAACCGTGGGCAAGTGAGCGAGACTATGTTAATGGATATACCAAAATTCTACAATATTAAAAAGTTTTTAAATTTCAATCGAATAGAAATCCTTCAAACCGGTGGAATGGAACAAAACAATACACCCTCCTAATAACAGGAGATGTACGGTAGCCTTGCCGTCGTCACCACCGGAAGCCATTCTCCCCGTCGAGTCGACATTCAAGCATTAAAACTATGAATTTCTAGGTTTCTCACTCTTTTTATTCTATCGCCGGTCTTCATGATTGATATGCTCTGTCCATTCTACTCCAATAATTTATGGCGATTTACGCAGTGTTTCTTCGAGATAGGCAATCGAGAGTCTCAAAGCAATGCGCGCCGAAAATTGTTGGACTGCGCACAAGGTACTTTCGCTTCATTACTGTATTTTCTTCGCGATATGAGTCTTATTTGTTTGAAGATTTTGAAGTGATGATCTTGTTAAGTATGAAAATAGATATGGATGATGGATGAACGAGATTCATGTTAAGAGATTTATGGTGAATGATTACCATTATTCATGAGATTAAAGCCCTTGCTGTGTATCATATACGCTAACATGACCAAATGCATCACTTGTTTCGTCGTACTCTATGTTATCTAGAAAATCCAGTCATCAAAATATCAATCATTTTAAGTATATGCTCCTGAATTTTCCCTGTGATTCATTTCTCGGGGTAGCAAAAATCATCTAGAAATTCAAGAGCAATGAAAGTCTCTGACTTGTTAGCTCAGGCAAACTACTCGAATGGAAGCGCCTTCTGTTACTTTTCTCATCCTCGTTTGCATCGTCAAACATGTAAGAGTGTAGATTCAGAACTGATTATGAGATTTTTCATTTCATCTCAGTATTTCCCCAGATGACAAATACTTTCCAATATTATTAGAAACTCGCTCAATTTTGTTTCTAAAATCAGCGGTGTGAATGCCATTTGGTCTTCTATTCGTTGAGTCTCCCGATTAAAGAAAGCAGATATGAAAATTAGCTGTGAGAATGTGATTGTTTTTCTATTTCTTGAGCTCCGATTAAAGAAAGGAGATGTATTACTATTATGAAACACGTAGTTGGTGAAGGTGCAAAACGAGGATACTGTGCGACTTGAGAAAAGAGTAGATATATCATAAAGAATGTAATATTTATGACATGTGCATGCATTAAGTCAAAAACCGAAACTTGTTTAACAAGGAAACAAATTTATAACATAAATATGCCCCAAAGCTTACTTTAGACATCCATATTCAAGTACCAAAAGGAATGATTACTTTAGGCCATTATCCATACTAATTTCTCGGTACGAATTTCTAAATTGATTATCCAAGACCATCTTCCGTTATATGGTAATCAACTTCATCATCGTAAAATTCTTCAAAGGCATCCTCTTTCTCTTATTCACTAATTTCTTCAGTGTTCAGCAGCACTAGACTTCCTCTTCTTCAAGTTCACCTTATTGGTCACAAAGCATTGAGAAGTGCTAATCCTCTTTTAGGAATTTTGCCATATTTTTAACTTGGTTAGGTCTTGCACTTGGTCCAGTAATAGAAAGAGCGTTTTTACTCTAATTGGATTGTTGTTCATTAATTTCTTGTATTTATTATATGTTTAATAAGTGAACACCTTAGAGTCAGAACCCGAAAAACTTAGACCATCTTTAAAATATCTGTATAGCCCACTTAAGTTTAAGACTCTAGGACAAGACCCAACTTAATGGAAAAATGGGGCATTTTGGAAAAAAAGGAAACACCCTAGACTTCCATGATGTGTGCCTTATCGTGCCTTACGAGCCTATGTGTAGGTGTGCTCCTGTCTGAAACCTAGCGCCTTAAAGGCCATGAGCGCAAAATTCTTTGCCTTGTGTGGATCTGCCAATTATAATTTAATGGAGGCTCTAGGTGGCAACCACATAAGATTTAACATAGATTTTTCTTCTTATGGTTTCAAGACGTCATTATTTGACTTAAATCTTTTTATTTTTCTTACTCAGGTAATCTTCATCTTCCCACCAAACCATATATTACACACACTGAACATATTAGTCAGGATACTGATGGATATTTAAATTGGATATTATGTTATTTAGATTATATTTGATTTTTTTATTTATTTATATAAATTTAAAGTTACTATAAAATCTGCTTCATGTTTGGAAAGGTTATTAGGTGGCTAAATTGATATGAAAATTTGAATTTAATATGTCTTTCTTCTAGTTTTTATGTTCTATGCTAAGATTATACATAATATCGTTTGTTGTCACCTTATTCATTCGGTTTGTGCATGCGTCAAATATCTAAGTCTTTCATGTTATTGGGAGAATTAGGAGCTCATGTCTTAAAAATATGTTGGATAATATTGCATGATTGAGAAACGCCCTCCCAGAATGTCCTTCCATGCCTCTTCCTTCCATGGTGGGATTTCCGCCTGCCGCCATCGCCAATGATAATAACATTGAGATGCAGTGGCTTAATTTTGTGGACATTTCACATTGGTTTTGTTGAACGCAATGCAAATGTACTAAAGACTAAATATGAAATTAGTTACTAAAAATCTTTAAAATTGGTAATTTAATTTAGAAAAGTACTTCTACTTCAGTTCTTGCTCAATCCCATACTCCTAATTCAGTTCTTTAAAATTGGTAATTTAATTTAGAAAAGTACTTCTACTTCAGTTTTGAGGAGTCTACCGCTCCGTGATGATTGCTGAGCCTCTTTTTAGTTGGGGATTTCATCTTCTACCCTTTGTATAAGCTAAGGTCAGATATCTAGGAGAAGATGATGCATATGAAAATTGCCCACTTTTTTTCATGAAGAGATGTGACAGATGCTCAATATCGTTCAACTTGGTTGACCCAACCTCTGTTGTTTGAATAAACCTTCTACCTCAGTTGGTACTTTTTCACGAATGGCACGCATGAGATTATAGATAAGTGTTTTTGCCTCGTCATCCGAGAAAGATAATCAAACAATTTCAAATCATAGTAATTTCAATCCATATAATGTGCAAAAAGAAACTCTATACATTAATAAATATTTTTTTGTAATAAAACTCATCAATTCATTTAATTTCGACATTAATGAGTGCTTATAAGCATTGAATTAGAAAATGCTCATGATCAATCCTTATAATCAATAAAATTTTGCAAAAAAATCTAATATTGAGTTTCAATATTGCTATATCCGTTGGAATTTTCATATGCTCTTTGCAATCATCGATAAAACTTTGTTTCATAGTTAGAGTAAGTGATTATAAAAGAGAAGGCCCCCCAATGAGTATATTTAAGCTTCTTAATCTTCTCCAATCATATGAATTTAACACACGACAGACATCCACATATTAAACCTTGCCAAGATTGGATACAAAAGTGCAATTTTGTGTATATAACTAGGTATCTCACAAATGACAGAATGTTGGTAGACTTAGTTAGCAGCGGAAGTTAGTAGTTATAACTATACTATATGCAAAGGTTATGTACTTAAAATTGCAGTATGACAGGAAAAGAAAATGGCAAACTTTAATCTCGGGTTCAATGGTTATTGAACTTTTGTTAGCAAATTTATGATTTGTTCAATAAATATTAATGCTGTGTAGTCTTCTTAAGCATTAAATTCATTTTTCATAAACACTCCGTTGTTGCATTTTTCAAAAGTAATTATGTGCTTACTTCGCTGTTGGAGGTGGGCTGTTGTAAAAGAATATTTCTTCTCTCTTTGTTTACCTTTGTCTATTGTTACTTCATTATTAATGTACATTAAGGGGTTACCACTTAAATCACAGTATGAAGAGTGCAAACCCTACTCCAAATCATTACCTGTATATTCTATTTTATACAATATATACATGGATTCAAACTCTTTACTGCTTACCCCATAAAGTTTAAAATATGGCACGAAAGTTACGTGAGTCGCTTATCTTCAGAAAGCATATTTAGCAGTGGTTCACAATTTCCAAGAGCCATTACAATTTAGCTTTTCAAATTTTGAAATAATATATGAGCTGTTTGGTAAGATAAATACAATCAGTTCTAACTAATCTATTCAACGCCTTTATTTCTTGACTGAGTTTACAATAAGTACAGTAAATATTTGCAATTATTCACTGTAAAGACAGATATGAATTTGAACGGCAAGCCAGCTTTTTCCTTGTATAAACCCAATGATTCCAGGTGACCTATTCCATTCTCTCCTTGTAAGAAAGCACTCGTTTCGCTATCCAGTCTGTGCATACAAAAACTATTCCAATGTTTTAGGCTTGTCTGTTGTCGTCCTTTCCGGCCATCCTTGAGAGTTTAGCTTTCTTAGCAACCTTCCGTTTGCTTCCTTGACATACAGCATGTCATCTCTTAGCAAGATTTCTTCTCCTAGTCAAAGCATGGAGCCATCTGATAATAGGAAAAGACCCACGGGTTCACGCCTGACTCCAATAGCGTGCCGTGTGTGTAATGAAGTTTTCTTTAACAATGTGAGCCTCATCCTACACTTTGAGTCTCACGTCAAAGATGAGGTGTCAATGGCCAGTTTAGACCTGACTTTTCTGCAAAGTGGCAGGCATTCATCTTTGAATCCACCACCATTTTCCTCTTCCGTTGAGCAAACGGGCAACCCTCATTGTGAACCAAGGCCTCATTCTGTTTCCTCAGCATCAACACTAAATGCTTTGCAACCAGATGGAACCCTTGTTGATATACCAGTTCTGAATCCCATGCTGCCAATAGACCCATCTCTTGACGGGCAAATTAATGGGGAGAATATATCAAAAACACTCCATCATTCGACCAGAATCCACCGTAGGGTTATCCCATCAGCATCATCCTACCCGTTAATATATTCTCAAGTAGGTATGGGGAGCTTTGGTCCTCCTGGCTCCAAATCTTTGCTGCTTCCGTTACAGTTTAGGGGGAAAATTGGGGGACAAGGGCAGCTGTTAGTTTATAAGAATCCCCACCTGAAGCAGCTGGAGAATCCCATCCCAGAGGTTATTGTCATAAGTGATGATGAGGAAGATGAGAACAAGAGTGCTGAGATAGACCTGACGTTGAAGCTTTGAGGGACGCATTAATTACTGTGATATGATATCATTGTATTTCTGTTTCAGTGTGCGTAATTGTTTCTTGTCTGATTGTTCTTCCTATTAGTGGCAGGTTTAATGCCATTCTTTTAATGAATGAGTATTTCCTATTTAAATTTAACTCCCATTTGGAATTGAATAAGGAAATTCAAAGGTGATATTTTACCGCTTTTTTTTTTTAAAAGGAAAATATGGAGGACAAAATCATACTCTATCGAGTTGGTGGACTACCTGTCACATTACCTGTTCAAAAAACATATATGAATTATTAATTCAATAAACTTAATTTTTAAATGATGTATTTATATAAAGACATTAAGTTGAATTATAGATTTTGTTAAAAAGAATAAAAAGAAAATAAAAGAATTTATTTATATAAACCAGTTTTTTCAGGTCTTCTCCCAGTGTTGCCCGGTTTTTGGCCAACTCAACCGGTTTTACTGGTTCAGAAAGTTCTCTAGGTTTGTCTGGAACGGCCCTATTACTAGTTCGCAGTCGAACCAGTTGATTTGGTCCTGTCTTTTAATTATTGCAGTTAAGACTATTAAATTCCTTACATATCTTAATTGCTTGTTTTTCACGTTCGAATTAGGAAAAGAAGAACCAAAGTAAATCTATTTGGTTACTGCCTTTTTGTCTCATATGACATCAGTAAACCATTAATTGTGCTGTCTAAATTAGTAAATCTTAGTGAATGATTATGTTAAATTGAAAAATGAAAACCACCCTTTGCCTTGGTCCATTTTTGACATTCTAAATATAAATCATTTAACAATTATACTACCCATAATTTACAATTTTATGTTCATCCATGCTTTGTACAGTTTTTGGATTTTCCATTTGAATCTGCGTTAAACCTAAATTTTGTTAAAGCTGTCATAAATTACAGAACAGCAAATATGATTTTTAGCGCTCAGATATTATATACATGTGAAGAAAAAAGGTGGTTTATTACATTTTGGTTAAGCCAACCAAAATTAACAACTGGAGTTTAAATCGAAATTCATGTTTCTGATGCAAATTAAAATTTTGTTTTCATTTGGTAGGTATCTTAATTATGTGTGCACCTAATAATTGCATACAGACATAGCTCTTAGCGATAGAAAGTGGGCCATGGCCGCCTTAGTGATTTGAAAAATCTGTGTATTGTCATGGAGTTATTATTGCAGTGAAGGTAGTAAGTATCTAACTGGATGGCAGTCTAGCAGATGCTAGCTGAGTTCTTGGCTAGTTATGGGACATCTTGTCCATTTACTTATGTGTAATTGCAATGCCCTAGGACATGCTAAGATTATTGCATACCTCCAGGGACGGAGCAAGAACTTGGGACTTCGGCTTGTGCCTAAAAGAAATAGATCTTTATGGTACAGGGGGTTTTACGCAAAAAAATAAATAAATAAATAAATAAATAAAAATAAAAAAAAGCCTAGTGGAGTACAATAAATGATAAATTGAAGTCTTCAGCAGGAAAATGTAATTCAATTTCGATAGTCCACTGTTTTTTCCTCTTATTTTATTCAAATAGAAGTTCGTGTTCTATTGTTTTAACCTCAATGTCTGCCTGTTTGGCGAATATGGGCAACCCACTCTTATCCTAGTCTGCTCACAGATAAATCCTCGATTCGCCCATGCATGGAGCTCAATGACAACGTAGTCATCTATTTCTCCTTTTTTTATCAGTTATACCTCCCAATCTTCACATATAAGTTTTGTTTCCAGTACTTGTAATTCAGACTTCTATATATCCATTTACTGAAGAGATTCTTCTTAATGGTTAGATGGGGAATGGGTTTGAATCTTGTATCAACACTTCATTTAAAGGGTGAGCCGTACCACTTGAGCTACATGCTCGCGGTTCATTAGGAGATCTTTCGCTATGCCACTATGCCAGTTTTGAACTAACTTCGCTTTGTTCTACCATTTTGTTTTTTACATCATCATCATGTCTCATCCTTTTATTCTCTCTAAAATTCCCCATCCCCGACAACTGCGGAAAAGTGTACCGAATATTAAATATGTTTAAGGAAATTGATGAAGTTCTGTATTGCCTAAACACAGGCAATTGGAAATGACTTGAAAATGCAGAAAGGATTGCGTATTATGGTTATGTTCCCTTACCACATAGCTGATAGGTGGTGCTGGAAAATCCATATTGAATATTCATTGATATTAGAGTGCATCGAAAATGCATTTGGAAGTATAAACAAAATTAGATTTTATAAATTCACGATAATGTTGTTTGGTTGATTAAGTTTGAGAGTTTCTAACAAACACAAGTATTTGATAAGAAGGAATATTTTTATTTGTATGTTTGGATAGCATCTTGAGTGTTATGTATTCAACTCAAAATGTTTGTAGCAGTAGGGTCCAAATAATCCAATTGTAGCCGAAACTTCTAATGAATGGTATAAAGGTGGAAATGCGTACATTGAACAACGGGCTTTTGTGCTGCTAATCTCATTGAGTAATCTCCCCACCACATATGAAACATGCACATTTATGAAAAAATTGTATTAGAAGGGAAAATACATTTTCCAACATGAACTTTGAACACTTTTGCACTTCATTTCTTTTTCCAGTAGCAACCTAAATTTTGTGTATTTTTCAGTTTTACAATTCCTAATTGAATTACTTTGTTTGTGATTAAGAATATTTGCTATAGTTCTGTGGAGGTTGCAATGTTGAAAGCTAACATAGGTTACTTGTTGGAATATACGTACACATATTTGTTTGGTTTGCGAATTGTAAGAACGCCATAATTTGGTGTTGCAAGAAGTGATTGCCTCTTGAGAGAACTTTTAGTGAACTCTTATATGTACAAGGGAATAAATTCATAAGAAGCTAGGATACAGTTAGTAGCATTACACATATGACCTATAATATATTCATATTCATCCCATAACTGTGCATTTATTTTTCGACTTTTTATGGTTTTAGTCACTCTTACAGGAACATATCTGCATGAACATCTAGAAATTCAGTCACAGTTCCAGTTTCTTTCATGTTCATGATGCTTATGCTGTAACATTGCTACATTATAGGAAGATCAGTTGAGAAGATGCATCTGCTTGACACCCGAAAAGTAACAGAAATTGTTGAAGTATTGACGGCCAAATTGCTTTCATGTGGTGTTTATCTTGAACACGAGTTGATTGGGTAAGCTTAAGTGGATGTTTGAAGAGTTCTATTTATAATGTTTCTGTACTCTGAACTCTGAAGTTATCACATTTGCTTGTGGTCTTCTATATGTGGTTCCTGCTGGTCTTGGTATTCAATTGCTCAAATTATATGCTACCTTGAAGAAAGTAGCTGCTTTTTTTTATTTTATTTTTTTCTTTTCTTTTCTTTTTTTTTTTATGTTTTTATTTTTTTTTTAATTTTTTTTTCCTAGTTATTCCTATAGGAATTTATGGCTGACAGGCTGAGTAAAGACTTGTCCTCTTGAAAGATTCGCAAGTGCACTAAAGAACTGCCGCTGCCCAAATGGAGTATACCTGCAAAAAGGCTTGATCCTCCACAAATTTGAGGCTTGAAAAAGGATTGTACTGATTAGGGGTGAGCATTGGTCGGTACGGTTAGGAGATTGACAAATCTCCGAAACCGTACCGAAGTTCGGAGATTACTAAAATTCAATTTCCGGAACCGTACCAAAAAATCGGTTCGGTTCAGTTCGGATATTTTCATTTTTCAGTTCGGTTGGGTTCAGTTCGCGGGACTATCGAAACGGTTCGGTTCGGTTGATATTCGGAGATTTCTAATTATTTTTTATTTTTTATTTTTTTGAATGACCACCCTTTTTTTCTTTTTTCTTTTTTTTTTTCGATACATTCATTAACACAAACACGTAATTACACCCGACTAAATATCCGGAAAAGGGAGGCCTACCCAAGGTACCCTAAATACCACAAACTAACACAAAAGAAAATAAAGAAAGCTCCCACATAGAGAAGAGAGGCTACTTAGTTGTATTTTAATTTTTATATATATATTTTTTAATATTCAGCATTCATCAATACTTTATTCAAAGATTTTATTTTTAAATCAACTGGAGAAATAACTCTAAATTTTATATAAGACTAAATTTGTGCAATATATGTTAAAAATTCAAATCTCAAACAAACTATGATATAGTTTTTTAGTAAAGTAATGTTTCTTTAACTTTTCATACCATCTTAGTTATAAGATAGAATAAGACTAATATCGACAAATTTAAGTAATATTTAAATATTTTTTAAAAAAACTATTTCTTTAACCTTTCATAACATTTTAAATATATTTTTATTAAACTAGGAAAATTCAATTGTAGATCTCAAGTATAACGAAGAATGAAATTTAAATGAATCTTAATCTTATAATTATATTTTATTTCTATTTTAAAAATTTCAAATTATATAGGATTAAAGTTGACATAAAATATATTAATATTACATATCTATTTTTATAATTCAGTTTGATACGGTACGGAACGGTTCAGTTCAGTTTTAGTACATATATTTGTGAAATTTCTAGAATCGTACCAATTGTTTTCTCGGTTCGGTTCGAAGAAAGTCAAACGGTCAAACGTTATTTTTTGGTTCGGAATGATTTCAGTTCGGTTTTCAAAATAATCCGAAATTCTCCGAGTCCCATGCTCAGCCTGAGACTCAGCCTAGTACTGATTAATGATCTGTTTGATATATTAGCTTTTCTAGTTCATGCCAATCCAGAGAGGTTGCAGAATTATAAATTGCAACATCTTTGTTTTCCAATTTCTTTCTTTTTGTATCCCCAAACAGAGGTGAAAAATGAGCTGGGTTAATTGAATTTGTGAACTAGTGAAGCTTGAGTTTACGAGTGAGCTCACTAACTAGCTAACAAACAATTCTTTGTATTTAACATGAGATTCTTCATTCTTATGATTTACCCATTTTTTATTATAATATTTTTTCTAGTTTATGTCAAATGATTTTGTAGATATTTTTTCCAATTGATATATAACT